CTAATAAATGTCAAAATTATAAAAACATAAGAATACCTTCCCTAAAAGAGATCCTTGCCCTTAAGGATCAGTGATAACAAAGTTAGGAAAGTTTTGCTGAAATTGATACAAAGGCATCCAAGAGGCTTCTTCATCCAGCAATTGTTTCCATTTTACTAGAATTTTAGTAATAGTTCATTTCTTCCTGTGCCCCACTTTTTTCTGTAGAATCTGTTCAAGATCAATTGAGACTGGAATTTCTGGCCAATCAAGTGGAGGGTGTCTTTGCTTCACCTTAGGATTTGGACACAACTTCAACAAAGATACATGGAAGGTAGGATGAACTCTAGAATCAGGTGGTAAGTTGAGTTTGTAACCAACAGCCCCTATTCTTTCCAACACCTTGTAAGGCCCAAAAAATCGTGGTGTTAATTTTTGAGAGCTCCTAGCAGCAACAAATAGTTGTCTATAAGGTTGTAACTTGAGAAAAACCCATTGTCCCACCATAAATTCACAATCAGATCTGTGAGTATCAGCCCGTTGCTTCATCATATTGGCGGCACGGTGCAAATGATGCTTTAAAACCCTTATCATCACTTCCCTTGCTATGAAGGACCTGTCTAACACATCTAGAACAGAATTGTGAGGTAAATAAGAACAATGTAGAGGAGGACCCTGACCATATAAATGTTCAAATGGAGTAGTTTTAGTTGCTGTATGAAAGGTAGTATTATACCACCATTGAGCTTGTGACAGCCATCTACTCCATTCCTTGGGTTGCTCCCAACACATACACCTTAAATAGGTTTCTAAGCACCTATTAAGAACTTCGGATTGGCCATCCGTTTGAGGATGATAGGCAGTTGAAAGATGTTGTTGCACACCTAAAATCTGTAAAAAATTTTTCCAAAATCCACTAACAAAAATTGGATCATGGTCAGATATAATTTCAGCAGGAGCACCATGTAATTTATAAACAGAATCCATGAAATTTTATGCTAAAGAAGATGCTGAATGAGGATGAGTCAAAGGAATAAAATGTACATACTTACTCATCCTATCAATTAAAACCCAAATTGTGTCCTTACCATTGGATTTAAGAAGTCCCTCAATAAAGTCCATGGTAATACTCTCCTAAATTCGACTAGGTATAGGTAAGGGTTGTAACAGCCCTGAGGATAAAATAGCTTCATATTTATATCGTGCACAAGTATCACATTGCTTGATGAAATTTGAAACATCATTGATAAGTTTTTTCCACCAAAAACAATGCCTTTATCCGTTGGTAAGTAGCTTGAATGCTTGAATGGCCTCCTTGAGGACTAGCATGTAACCATTCAAGGATTTGTTGTTTTAGAACAGGATCATGGCCAATTACCAACTTCCCTTACTTTCTTAATAATTCACCATCCCAAGAGAAATGACTCCAAAAGCCATTATTTGCTTGAACCTTTTTCTGGATTTTTGTAATTACTGCATCATTCTGGCAACTTTCCTTGATTTTTGAAAGCATTTCAAGGGAGAAAGTGTCCAAAACAATTTGTAATAACTGCTGTTTGGGTAATCTATATAAAGCATCAGCTGCAGAATTTTCTTGGCCCTTCTTGTACTGAATTTCATAGTCAAATCCGGCTAACTTGGCAATCCAAAACATCTGAAAGGATGTTTTTAACTTCTGTCCAAGCAAGTACTTTAAGTTTTTCTAGTCTGATCGAATGACAAATTTCTGTCTTTCCAAATATTTGTGCCAATGAAGCATAGCCAACATTGCTGCCATCAATTCTTTCTCATAAATTGATAACCCTTTATGTCTCTCAGCCAATCCTTTGCTGAAATAGGCAATAGATTGTCCCTCTTGCATTAAAATAGCTCCAATTCCTACTCCACAAGCATCTGCCTCCACTACAGATTGCTTTGAAAAATCTGGAAGTGTGAGTATAGGTGCAGAAATCAATGCTTTTTTATGATTATTAAATGCATCCAGGGCTGTTTGTGACCATACAAAACCATTCTTAAGGAGAAGAGTTAAAGGTTTAGTTAAAACCCCATACCCCTGAATGAAACGCCTATAATAACCTGCCAGCCCCAAAAATGCTCTTAATTGTTTGATATTTTGGGGTTCAGGCCAATCAGCCACTGCTTGTATCTTCTTAGGATCAGTTCTAACCTTACCATTGTCAATTAAATGCCACAAGCATTCTACCTCAGTGCCAGCAAAATAACACTTGCTCTTTTTGACGCAATAATGGTTTTCTCTTAGAATAGAGAAGACTTGCTTCAAGTGCTGCACATGATCAACAAGGTTAGCACTATAAACCAATATGTCATCAAAAAACACAAGAACAAGCCTTCGCAAAAATGGTCAGAAGATGCTATTCATGGCCCCTTGAAATGTTGTTGGGGCATTAGTTAAGCCAAAAGGCATAACTAACCACTCGTAGTGCCCACTATGAGTCTTAAAGGTAGTTTTATGCACATCTTCTGGTTCCATCCTGATTTGATGAGATCCCGCATGCAAATCCAGCTTTGCAAACCATTTTGCTGTGGTTAATTCATCAGATAAATCTTCCACTAGTGGAATGGGTTATTGGTTCTTAATTGTCTTCTTGTTCAGCTCCCTATAATCAATGCACATCTTTCAAGTGCCATCTTTCTTTTTAACTAAAACAATAGGGACTGAGAAGGGAGAGGAACTTTCTTGGATGACCCCTGAATGTAGGAGATCACCAACTAATTTTTCAATGACATCCTTTTGTGAAGCTGAATATCTGTAAGGCTTAAGGTTTATTGGGTTGGTACCCTTCTGGAGAATAATGGGATGATTATGACCATCCCTAAATGGTGGTAACCCCTTAGATTCATCAAAAAGGCTAGAGAATTCTTCCAGAGTGGCTGTAATCACTGCTGGAACTTCTCTAAGTGTAAGAAGGGAGAAATTTTGCACGGTGCATTGCTCATCTATAATAGGTTGTAGTAAGTAGGCTTGATTTTCCTGGGAAACCTTCATTCCCAAGTTTTTCGGCTGCAGCATTTTAAGCTGATTTGGAATGTTGGCTTGAAGTTTGCACAATTTCCCCTCATACCAAAAAATCATGGTGAGAGTCTCATAGTTCCAAAAAGCATTTTTAAGGCTTTTCAACCAATGCAGCCCTAAAATCATGTCATAGTAATGCAGCTCTAGAATTCTGAAGTCAGATAAATTCCAAGCCTTGCATATGCCGTCTAAAGCCTTTCCACATCCTTGCACCTTTAATTTCTAGCCACTAGCAGTCTGAACCTATGATTCACAAGTTTTATCTGGCTGCCACCCCATTTTTATTGCAAAACCCAGATCTAAAAAGTCATGTGTGCTTCCACTGTCAATGAGGATTTGGAATTGCTTCCTACCACAATACCCTTCAACTCTCATTGAGGAAGCACTATTAATCCCTTCAATAGTGTATAATGAGATCTAAGGTGTTCCTTCCTCCATATTGTTGTCCTTTTTTGATTCTTCTATGAAAATCTCATCTTCAATATCCTTTGGAACTTCAATAAAGTGAAGTTGCAATTTTTGTCTTTGAGGACATTTATGATCCTTTGAGAATTTTTTGTGGCAGTAAAAACAGAGGTTTTTAATTCGATATTCAGCTTCTTCTACAGAAAGTGTTTTTGAAATACTGCCAGTATTCTTAGTGGATGATATCAAAGGTTTAGAGGCTAAAGAAGTCATTTTCCCGTTGCTTTGGGTTCCACCACTTAACAAAGCATTCTTATAAGAGCCCCATATATGCCGAGTGTTCTGTAATGACGAGTTTGAAGAGCTGGCCACGTGCGAGGAACTCTTTCCACTCGTCGTCTTCTCATTCTGGTGCTGTAACGTGGTTTCTTGCATTCGAGCCAAGGATCGTGCTTCTTGAAGTGTGCATGGCTTGAAAAGTCGGACTGGGCTTGCGTAGTCTTCTGCCAAACCTTCCATATAAGCTTCAACCAGATAATCTTGTGGGAGGTCCATCTTGCAGGCTATGGTGTCAAAGGCATCGCCGTAGTTCGACAGGGACCCCTGTTGTTGAAGATCTTGCAGGATTGGGCATACTGTTCCCATGTAGGTTCGATGCCATCCCATAACTTCTTGACCGCTACATGCCACGACCAAGCTTTCTCTTCCAGATGAATGCTTGCCATACGAATCTTGTCATCCTTTAGGGTATTGTCAAGACCGAAGAATTCCTCACAGCGCATAAGCCACCCTACCACGTCGGAGCGTGAGAATTTCGAGAACTCCATCTTGGTAAACTGGGTCGGTTGCCTATAATCTTCTCTGTAGTATGGCCCGTCGTCTCTATTCTGGTGCTTATCGTGTCTATGTTCATGTCAACCTCTTTTGTCGTGGTTGGTTGAACCTTCTTCCCTATCATGCATGAGCAATTGGAGTTGATTAGAGATACCCTCTACCATTTCTGACAAGGTATCTATCTTCTCGAATCTTTCTTCTAGTCTTGCAACTCGATCATCCATTTCTTGCTGTTTCTGGGTATGAGTTTTCACCATATACCATTGGCATGAAATAAGGGAGTGCCAAGGACTGTCTGGCTCTGGATACCACTGTTAGATGTTTGTAATAGTAGAATGGAATAGATGGTAGAAGAAGATAGGAGGAGGGAAGAACAGAGGAGGGTTTAGAGAAGATGAGAGATGAGAGGTTGAAGAGGAAGAGAGAAAAGAGAGGTGAGAGCTTTCTAAATAATACCGAACTCTATTGATCAACAAGAACCTAATACAATTGAACATAAAGGTATTTATATGACTGCTGAATAACCCCAACGGCTAGTAATCAACGTTTATAACTAACTATTAAATGTCAAAATTATAAAAACATAACATTGATCACTTTAATTTTTCCTTGGTTTGTCCTGAATGGCCAAAAGGATAAAAGAAGGAAAAAGAGAAATCGTGTCCCTACATTTTGAGTCCTCTGCTTGATTGAAATGGTTCATGGATTTCGGCGTTGAGTATTCCTTTCCTTTTGGTTTTAATATCAGGGCTGCATACAAAGGCTTTGCTGATTGCATCTGTCTTCTGATATTCCTAGATGCATATAGGGGGCGTCAGGACAAGGAGGGTAAGTGTAATGCTCTAATCTGAATTTCCTCCCGGATATTGTTGTTCTAAAATAATATTTATATAGGGTGAATTTTTTCTTGATTTTTGAAGCTTTTTAGTAGTTTTTATTTCCCCTAATTTTACTCAGGTTGCACTCCTCTCCATTGGGCTGCTATCAGGGGTAATTTGGAGGCATGTACTGTGCTAATACAGGCTTGCAAGAAAGAGGACCTGATGGTTACTGATTATACTGGCCTTACACCTGCACAGCTTGCTTCTGATAAGAATCATAGACAAGTTGCTTTTTTCCTTGTAGGTGGTTCATAGTTAAAATATAGTTTATTTGTTAAGCAGTGTCTCTTTAGTGGTAGTTTGGCATTCATTTAAATTAGCCTCTTTTGTTTCTTGCTGATTGATTTTTTTGGGGCTCATTTTTCCTTCGTTACTAAAAAGAATGCCTAAGGACCAATTTATGAAAGTTATTATGTGCTCATCTGTTCCCTTTTTTCTCTTTGCAAACTCGTAATTCTGTAATAAACATGTATTCAGAAAATTTTTCATAACTTTTTCTGAATATCTGCTATGAAACTTGTATACCTTTTTATAATCTGTTCTCATAATTTTAGGATTTGTTTGTAGATGTGTTTTTAGATATACTACATTCTTCATGTGAACATATAGAACTCTGCCTGAATATGCATGACACCGCTTGTCCAGATCATTGGGTGCAAATAATGACACATCTCTCAGAATCGTGCAAGTCATGTGTATTTACCATTTTGTATTTTAGGTGCTTATGTGGGGCTCTTAAGTGTGCTGATGAAAACAGTCAGTATTCACATGGTTGTCCTAGACATGCATATTTTTTCTGTCTGGTGTTATTGATGTGAATTTTTTGAGTCTGCCACATTACGTATGGGATACCTGAATCGTAGGACTGCTGATAATATTGGACATTCACATTTGGCTTATCCAATGAATATTCACTTATTATTGCTAAAACTTCCAGCAAGACCAAGAACCTATTTTTACTCTTATCATTCAGAGAATGTTTGGATAAATGAGTTAGTATTGCTTACCATGCATAAAAACACCTTGAGATCTTAACCAATCAGTTACAAAACTGTTTTGTCCACAAAATTCTTGATGGCACAACTGAGCAACCTTTGCAACATGCAGTGGTCATTTTATTCTGAAAAATCTGTAATTTCTGAAACTGCAAAAACTGCCTTCTCATTCCAAGCACTACATAGTGGCTTCATCTCAAAGTCATGTACCATTATTAGAATCTCTTCCCTAATGTGTGTGGATCTGATTGTTGGGGAGTATGGAGTAAAGTAGGTGCTTGGCATGTTTGAAAGAGGTTGGTACCGTATTTTTGATTATGTCTTTTTCTTTGTTTCTCTTTTCAGTTGTTATTTTTTCCTAAATGAAGGTGAACTTAGTTATATTTCACTAAAGTATGACAATTCTGAAGATATAAAATTCCTTTCCAATATCACCCCCATTTTGCACTGATTCCAAAGTGGTTGAGTATTTCTCCTTACTGAGGTTTATTTTCTGAACACGAATGAATAAGAGGTTTTATTATGATGCTGAATATGTTCTATAGGGTAATGCCAGAAGGTTGCTTGGTAGAGGCTGTGATGGGAATAGCCGCCTTGGAAAAGTCTCCAAATTAGGACTTGCTCCTGTACTTTGGTGTATGATTTTTGTGCTCCTGGTCACCTATATTCACTCGGTCATCTTGGGTATCTATCTTGCCTGTGTTTCTTCTTGTGACAATTTTTCTAATAATAATAATGATGATGATGATGATGATGATGATGATAATAATAATAATAATAATTGTCATCTTGGGTATCTATCTTGCCTGTGTTTCTTCTTGTGACATTTTTTCTAATAATAATAATAATAATAATAAAATTAATTTTGTTGTTATTATTATTATTATTATTATTATTATTATTATTATTTGTGATGTTTCTTCTAATTTTTATTCTTACAATTTCTGCAGCTACAAATCTGCCTAAATTAACAGCTGCCTCTGGTCTTCTAGCATGGTTTGGAGTTTTCCTTGCAACTGCTGGATTATTTATGTTTTACAGGTGTAGCAGGTAGGAAACCTGGGTTTAAAAATAAGCAGTTTCTCATAAGCATAGTAATTAAAGCACCATTCAAATTGTAAATTGGGAGGCTAATTTTTTTAATCATGAATCATAAAATGTATTGAACCATATAATTTAGAGATGCAATAAAAATAATTTCAATTATATCTGACGGAATTGAATACCATCAAAATTTGCTCAAATAATAATTTCAAAGAGGGAACGAGCAAATTTTAAATTGGAAGACTTTGAAAACAAAATCACTCGCAATAATAATAGCTCAAAATTATGTAACTGATAACTCATACAAGTTTATCAAATTGAAAAATTGTCCAAAATTAATCATTTTCTTATTAATTGTGGCTGATGTCATCTCTGTTGTTGTCATCTTATTTCCACATACGCTTGCACAAGTATCCCTAACCATTTGATCTCTATCCTTCAACATTTCATTAACTGTTAGTTGTTTTTTATTATTAGGCTTGGAGGAGTCTGAGCCACATCTCCTACTTCCTTTGTCTCAGTTCCCTTCTTTTGCATCTCATATTCTTGACTTTCTTTATCATTCTGCATGCCCCTCCCCTTATTATTTTGGGCCAAGAATTACATTTAACATTAACCAAATTGCAGGAGACTTTTGGTGATCCCAAAGCTATATCTTCTTTCACCTTTTTAGTTCCATAGCATACAATAGGAGCAAAAACTAAAAACCGCTTATGATCAGCCATTTCCGAATTCTAATTTAATTGCTTTTGTGCCAAACCAAAAGTACAATGGCTAAATGTGATGTAGAGGGCAAGAGAGTGTTGCTTTTGGGTGAAATTTTTAAATATTGAACTGTGAATTTTGTGAAGAACATGCTTCTATGTTTTTTTTTTTTAATGTAGGATTTCTTTATTTTTTATTCTTTAAAAGTGCAAACCTATTGCCCCTATTGTGGATAGGGAAATGGATGCACCGATGAGTAATTGAAGAGTTGTTACAACAAATGACGTTTTATTGACTGTGCTGCAGTCTTGACTATGAGGCCTAGCATTGCTTACGAAACCATGTCGTTTCAATTAAAAGAGGGGGATCTCCTTGTGGTTGATTTTCCATGTCATTTGTTATTATTGTGAAGTAGTATTTTAGTTTTTTGGGAGAACTGAATCTTATCATGCAGCTACACCCGCACAAACCCCCACCCCTACACACAAAGACAAAATGTAAAACTCAAAAGTATGGGTAGGAAGTATTGTGGCATTTTCAGAGGGAAAATATTATTTTCATTGATGCAAAAATGTGTTACAATCGGTATATATACACAAAGCTGAGAGACAGAATAATAAATGCTAATAACTCCTAATAATCAACAATAATCCCTAATGATCAGGATAGAATGTTTACAATAAATTCAATATCACCACAAGTATTTCCACTAGGCTGTGTGGAACTTTGAATCATAACAGTTAAGTTGGAAATGATGTTTTCTAGATATCTGTCTGACAGACTTATTAATTTGACAGGGTTGGGCAAAATCAGATAATTGGTATTTCTTGTTAATATATTGCTGATGGTATGTCCGTTTCAACTTGCTTGCAATGACGTATTACCAATGGTTATTCTCCATGTGTTTACCCAGTAAAAAAAGAGAGTATCTTCTATGAAGCAGTTTAGGGGTAAATGTGAAATTTTTTGCTTGCATGTTATCCTTGATGAGGATATCCTGGGGCTAAGATTTATTAGTTTTCAGTTGCCTTATTTTTTTACTTCATTTTCTTTCTCTTGTCTTTTTGCAGCAAGGATCCAGGTTTCATCAGAATGAACATGCATGAGTCTGAGAATAGTAAAGATGATGTGAGTTTTTTATTCTTTTCTGTTGAATTTCTCTTTAGATTTGATTTTCTCCCGGAAATTATAATTTTCTTCTTTTCTGTTTATGGATGATTACTATAAAGATATAGTATATATGCTATCAATAATGTCTTGCAAATAATTTGTGGCAGGAACCTCTCTTAAAGATTGAGATAAATCATCCTGCGTTGCTTGCTGGAAATTGGTCCCTTCTTTGTGCAATATGCAAGGTTCTCCCTGCTTTATTTAGATTGTCAGATCTGTTACTATGAAGAATTCTTCTCCAGCAATCTCTCACCTGCACACACTCAGATGCACATGCTCATTTATCTATTGCTTTATATGATTCGTACACATTTTTATGCTTTTCCTTTAGATTGTTAGGCCCCTTCGTGCAAAGCACTGTTCTACCTGTAATCATTGTGTGGAACAATTTGATCATCACTGTCCTTGGGTATCTAATTGCATCGGCAAGGTATTTTCTAAATAAGTGCTTGGGTAATTTGTTTGACATGCACTATTTGAACTCCTTTAACTGTAGATTAGTCTTTTCATTTTTCTTCGAGTTTAAAGGGTGAACGGTCAAAAATGAAAAAAAGGGAAAACACAATTATTAGTCCCCATAGTTTTGTCATGTTTTATTGTTGGTCCCTCTAGTTTTTCCCGTATGCAACATTAGTTCAACTATTTTTGAATATTTCCAGAGGGGCAATGATGTGATAATAACAGTGTTAAGTTATCGAACATGTAACTAACACTATTAACTCTTGTGCTGAAAAAAATAATGTTAAATCACTGCCACAAATTTCTGTGCACCCAACTCTAACTTCACCACTGTGGGAGGCGGCTGCTGTCACCCTCTGAACAGGCAGTTTATGCTCTCAATTGAAGCTTTTGAGAAGTTCAGTGATCTCTGCTGCCATGGCTGCCATCGCCAAGACTTCTCCCAAGTTCGCCCTTTTGCTTCTAGTGTGTTGCTTCTGGCTACTAACCTGTTAATTTTTCTTTTGAATGACCATTATTAGTAGCACAAATTACCCATTCACCATCATTTGCCCCCTAAATGGGTAATTTGGGAAAGTAAGGGAGAGATTCAACAAATGTGACATTCGTAGTGACATAGAACTTACGAGTTTCTGGAGAATAACACTTAGACCCCTTTTTGGTAGATGAATATCGTAAAAAAATGCATTTGATGGACTAAGATTCAAGTTTGTTGCTTGCATCATGAAAGACAAAAGCAGTGCACCCAAAGACCGTTTTCAAAAGAGAGTTAATTAAATGAGAGTGAGGATAGAATGTCAAGAAAAAGTCAAAAGTGGTTTGAAAATTGAAAACTTTAGAGGGCATGCAATTAATTAGGTAAGCAGTCGTAAGGATTGAATCTCCCTAAAATTTGTGTGGAACATTATTACCTACTACTAGCAACTTTGAGTAGGTGTCTATTTTTCCTCTTGCCACTCTATTTTGTTGAGGAGAATACACACAAGAAGTTTGGTGATGAATCCCATTTTCAGTAAGGAAGGTGCAAAGATCAAAATTGAGATATTCAGTTTCATTGTCACTGCAAAGAATCTTTATAGAAGTTTGAAATTGAGTTTGAACAAAAGTATGAAAGTTTTTGAAAATAGTGCAAACTTCAGATTTATCTTTCGTTAGAGAAATCCATGTCAACTGCGTATGGTTATCAATAAAAGAAAGAAACCACTTGGCCTTAGTGTGAGTTTCAATCCGTGAAGGACCCCACACATCATTATGTATGAGGGAAAGAGATGTGGAGGGGATATGAGAGTTAGCAAGGAAAGGATAGTGAGTTTGTTTAGCAAATTGGCAAGTATCACAATGAAATTTAATGTTATTCATAGAGTTAGGAAACAAAATTTTCATATGATCAAAACTGGGGTGGCCTAAATGGGAATGCCATAACATAATGTCTTATTGAGACAAAACTGGAAAAACAGAAATAGAATTGGAAATAGGATCAACTAAACAACGTTGACTGGCAGATTCACCTTCTAGAGAGTGGAACCCATTGCGTTACTTAGCATTGCCAATCATCCTTCTTGAGGCTAAATCCTGAAAAACACAATGAGATTTGTCAAAGCTGGCAAGGCAAGATAAGTGGTGGGTAATACACGTGACTGATAACAAACTACATTGGATATCGAGTACATATAAAACATTCTTCAAAACAATAAAGTCAGAGATAACAACAATGCCAGTTCCCATCACCCGAGCATGTGTTATTGGCTACTTGTGCATAAGTATGCTCAGAATGAGGGCTAAACTTGGAAAATAATTCCCGAAAACCTATAATGTGGTCTGTTTCTCCTGAATCAAACAACCCAGATGTTGTTACAATAATGTAGTCAGTAAAGTCTTACTTGCCTGGGCCAAGGTAACGGAGAGAATAGGTTTTTCACTTGTCTCATCAAGAGAGTATTTCTCCAGAATGCATCTCATCATAGCAATTTCCTCAATATTGAGTATATGATCATAAGTAGGGTTGGTAGTGAACCCTTTGCTATCACCTTTATGCTCCCCCTTGTTATCACCCTTGGGGTTGGACTTTAAATGAGATGGCTTGCCATGAAATTGCCAACAAATTTTTTGGGTATGACCTTTTTTATTATAATGATTGCATTAGAGAGACTTTTTTCCTTTGTGATCCCCCCTTTGATGACCTTGAGCCACCATAGCAGAAGTTTCAATGCTAAGCAAGGTAGATGAAGTAGAAGAAGGAAACTGTACTAGGACTTTGCCTCTTTCTTCATATTTAATCATGTTAAATGTGTCTTCAAGAGAAGGTAGAGGTTTCATACCCATAATTCTTCCTCGAAGATCCTCATAGGAGTTACTGAGGCCAAGAAGAAATTCATAGCACTGCTCCTATTCAACCACCATCTTGTAGTAGAGAGCATCAACCTGACAAGACCATTGGTGCACCTTGTATAGGTCTATAAGTTGCCAAAGATGCATAAGAGTAGTGTAATACAAGGTGACTGATTTCTCCCCTTGCTTAAGGGTTGAAGAGTATGCTTTGCTTGATAAATTACTGCTGTATTTTCCTTGATAGAGTAAGTATGTCGGGCAGACTCCCAAATTTCCTAAGCTGGGTTGGCAAGGAGATAATTTTCACTTATCTCGGGTTTCATTGAATGAATCAACTAGGTCATCACCATGTTTTTTGCACACCATGTTTCATACTTGGGGTCACCAACTTTTGGTGCTTTTAGGGAACTGGTCAAATAACGCTCCTTATTCTGACCACATATGAACATAAGGACACTATTGCACCACTGCAAGTAATTATTCCCATTCAACCGATAGGTGAGAAGTAGATAAGAAAATGAATCACCATTGCTGCTGCCTCCTGAGGAAAGAACACTGTCACTGCCACATTGACCAGGGGGTTATTTCTGCGTACCCCTTCTGTATTAAAGGTCCGTGGGGTACCATTCAAGGCTGCCTTGTAAGCAATGACAACTGAAAAAAAATAAAATAAAGAGAAGAACAGAAATAGGGGCACTTCTCGATGGAAACAGAGAGTATGATTTGAGGAAGACAAGAGTGCACCACCTAATAGATGAGGGAGGCTCGTTTCAGCACTGGACCCAGATGATTTGGACGTGTCTTGTGTCTGGGTTGAAAGTCGCAGGTCATAACTGGAGCAGAAGAGTGAACAAAGTCACACGACTGGAGTAGGGGAGGGCCAAGATGCACCTTGTGTCTGAAAGGACAGAGTTGCACAGAGTCGCATGCTACTTAGGGTGAAGTCGCATGAGCAACAAATATTTAGGTACAGGCCGATGGCGGCTCTGATACCATGAACTCTTTTGTGATGAATCGTGCCTCTTTATTTAGAGGGAAATAGTATTTATAAAGTACAAGAGACACGATAATAATAATATCATATCAAAAAAATAAAATCTAATCCCTAATATCATGTTGAAAAGATAAGGAGATTAAATCTAGGGTTAACTAATGGGTCTAGGACCTATCAGCCCACTTTCAAAAGTTATGAACTATCCCTCTTGTTAATAAATTCACCTTGTTACTTTAAGAGGGGGGAAAAAAATCCTTTTTTACACATTTTTATTTGGTGGTGGATTCAGCAAGCAGTTTTTATAGGTTGATGTTGGGAGAATGATTGAGCTTCTGACTGAAAATGTAGTTGAAAGTAATAAAATATAGTTTTTTTCCTCCCTGGGAAGGTCTCTGAGATTTTCTGTTTCTAAACATGATATATGAAATCAATTAGAAAAGTTAGTTTGGACTGTCAATCTTATCTCATTTTCTTTTGTAAACTTATCGAGGTGAATAGACTGGCCAACTTATCTTCTTTTCCTATTTCTTGGGCGTGCAATTTTGCTTTTTTAAATTTAGTTATGATTAAATTGACCTGATCGTGGTGGAAACTATAATATATGATTGCAGAGGAACAAATGGGAATTCTTTGTTTTTCTTGTTCTTGAAGTTTTAGCAATGTTGATGACTGGTGGAGTTACTCTTACAAGTATGTGAACTATGACTTGGGATGAACTTCCTTTTTGTGGAAATCCTAGATTTATTTCTGTATATATTTGTATTTAATGAGATTATTATAGGATCAGTTTTAATTTTATTTCCCTGATTTTTCTGACCCATAGAATTAATTGGGCAGACTATATTTGCTGTATATATATTTCCCATTTGAATAGAATAACATCATCGCAGAATCATTCGCATTCTACGTTTTTGACCCATTCTCTCCTTTTTTTCGGTGCTTATGTTGCTAATGGGAACTCAGTTTTGTGTACAGGAATATTAACTGATCCACTTGCTCCTCCATCATTTGGATCACTGATTCAATATGCATTCACACATCTTGCGGGGGCTACATCATTTTTAGCTGTTGATTTTTTCCTCTTCTTTAATGTGTTGTTTATGACAGTTGTTCAAGCTTATCAGGTATGTATTTATTGCAGTCTCATTCAGTATTATATGTAGATTAAGAATGCTGGCAAACCTATGTAAAACCACTGATTTTGTGGAACCATATCGTTCGTCACAAATTTCAATTTCCCCTGCACTATAGTTCAAGGTCAGGCATCACCGTTGGTGCAAGTTGTAGTAGCTTTGCAGTCTCAAGTGTAATTGTCTGTAGTTTGACTTAAATCAATATCATATCACTGAGGATGTAAAATTTTGAAAAAACAAAGTTTTAGAGTTCTTATAACCTTATACTTAATAATGTACTATTCTTCGGAGACTTGAGTCTGAAACTTCGTTAAAAGTTGCTGCAGCTCTGTTGCCTTTGGACACTGATGTAGTTTGACTTTGATTAATACGAACCATGTGATCGACGATCCCCAAAGAAGTAAAAGAATACCTTAATCACAAAACAAAGAATAATACTTGTAAATTCCTGCTCATGATGCTATATTTCAATTCTTTTTTTTTAAAAACATCTTGGAAGTATGTTTTTCTCATTTATGTAAACGCAAGAGGATTGATCTCGCTGTCCTCGAGTTTATATTTACATATAATATCTTTTTCTTCTTGCAGATATCACGCAATATTACAACAAATGAAATGGCAAATGCTGTGCGATATAGCTACCTTAGAGGTGCAGATGGTAGATTCAGAAATCCCTATGATCATGGGATCAAGAAGAATTGTACAGATTTCTTGATCAATGGATTCAATGAAGATGTGCAGTTAATTGAAGAATCAGATAAATCTGAGGGTATAGGAATGATAAACATTCCAAGGAACTCAAGCCTAGCCAACAGAGACTCACATTCTCGCGTTGAAAATGGCAACGGCCATGTTGTCATTAATGTCGGTTCCAGCGGCACCAGCTCTAATTCGCTCCATGCTTGTGCTCTTCACAGTCATGGCAATGGTCATGCTCATTCCTCTCGTTGTTGCCACAATAATGCCCATGGCAAAACAAAAAATGAGAGTGTTCCTCTGGGTTTAGGACTTGGTCTTGGTCGGAACACCAGATCTGGTGCATCCTCGTCATGATAACTACTAGAATGGCTGCTTTAAAGTGTAATGTACCATAGGCATACATCTGAGCTAGTTTTTGTCAATTCAATTTATTGTGGTTCTAATCCACTGCCCAGTGCGCAATTTTGTGGCGTTATATTTTGCTCCTTTATCAGGGTTTATTTACAGTCTGAAGTCAAGCCAGCTAACATGACGTCCTGATGAAGTGCTGTTTGTCTAGCATGTTGGGAGACAGGATTGAGGAACGTCTGCGAGTCATAGAGGGTTGTTCCTTATGGATTGTTATGAACAAGGGGGGGAAAGGAGAAATGAAATAGAAAGTCATGTATCATCTCACTGATAGAGTACAACGATGAAAGAATACCTATCGTTGTCTAGCTAGTTACAGTGAATGTTGTACATACATTAATCTGTAAATGAGCCATTTTTTTATTCTTTACAGTTATTATCAATGCATTCGCTGAGTCTCAGCTAAGTTCTCATAACCCTTTTACATCACTTGCACTTAAAATTACTGTACACTTTCTGTCTTTTAACGTAGCTAACCCAAACTCACTCGTTTAAACATCAAACAAGGATGTTACATTAGATTTGCAGATTAAAGCCCCCTCTTCTCGTGATGGTGTTTTCTCTCCAGCAGTGAGAGCCCATTTCACCCCTAGGTGAGCGACTTCAATGGTGACTTGGCATCCTCTCCCCAGCGGCTGCCCGGGGGGAGTAGTTTGTTCTGACAATGCCAAGGGGAATATGGTGTGTGGAGATCCTAGTTGCTCACGTCAAGTATTTCCTTAAATATGGTCAGCTATTTGGAAAATGAAGGTAAATCTGTTCATACTCAGTTTTTTAAAGGGAAGTGCAGTGTTAATGGGTGGCTTTGAAAGATGAGGTGCTGTGCTTTTGTTTGTCCTTGCTGCGTTTTGGTTGGTGAATTTGGGGGATACAAAGTGATTTGGATTTTCAAATCTTGGTTTAGCAATCCATTGCTAACCAGAAATTGAGATATGGTTTGAATGGTGTGTATTGTCTCGAGTTTTGTTTTACCAGGACAACCTTGATGATGTAATGATCTATGGTGATTTGGTTTGGAATTTACACTCCAAGTTTGAGGGGCAATGGTTTCATTTCAAGTGCAGTCTTCTTTGTAGCAGTGTTTTGTGTAACAAACATGACTTGATCTACTTGACTAAGGTCTTAGCAAAAAAAGAAGGCCGGCTGACATTAGATATAAGACATGCATGAGGGATGCTCTGGTGTGGATTTAGCTATGATTTCATTCCACACTTCCAAATTTGACTAATTCTTGTATCATTCAAGAGCCTATCATGTAGATGGGTGTATTAAAATTATCTTTCAATCTCATTACGTGTTTACATTGGTAATGTTTACTAGGTCTTTTATTTGTCCACAAGCCTACCATTAGCATCTAACATTTCATGTTTATGTTATCAAACCTCGTGACTCGAGTGGCATATCATGGTTCAAGTGATTTTTTTATGAAAAAAAATACTTGGTTGAAACTTATTAAATGAAGCAAATGGTATTGAGTTTGTGTTCCAAGATGTTGATGTAAGTTTTTGTAACTATAGTTTTACCTAAAGTAGTGTCAATTTCATTCATCTATATTATTGCTAATGCTTATGCTTCCTTTATAAAGTGTGATTGACTTTTTGCAATTGTTTGGAAGCCATGTTTTGGTAATAGGTTGGAATAGGAAAAGCTATACAAAGTTTTAAAGTGTGGTTTCATATACCTTCGGCTCCTATGGAACAATGGACCATCCATATAAGAAAAGTTTGTTGTTTTTAACCATCATGAAGTTGCGTGTTGATGTGAGTTTCATCCATCAATATGGCTTTCATTTTGATGAATTGCGGACATTTCATATAGGAGTATAACGGAAAATAATTACTTAGTAGGTATGCCATTGTAATATCTTACATCCTTGTTATGACATTCTTTTTCATCTATTGTATAAAAAGTATATTTTCACAATAATTATAATTCTTGTTTTTGGATTTTAATTATTTACAAAATTTTAAAGAAATATAATAAAATTTAACAAAATAGATTTTAAAAGATAAGTGATTATTAAAAAAATGAGTAAACTTTACTAAAAATATTTTTTTGATGTATTATATATTCTTTAGATTAGACCATAAAAACAATATTTTCATTGTTAAAATTCTTACAAATATACTCACTTCATATTTTTACTATTTTCATAACCAACGTGCATTTAGGTGCACTAATAAAAATTAAACTATTTAACTTTTATATTAATTCATTTATAATTTTTTCTATCTTTTATTTAATTATAGTATATTAAAAATAATAACTTATTAATCTATATAGGGAGAAAATAACGCAATCCACCATGCCATCATTGATTACTGAAGACTAAAGAGGCTGTCAACGATTGGCCAAATAATGATGATGATGATGATGATAAGAAGAAGCTGTCAACGGGCATTTTTTGAGAGCGAGATATAGATACTAAAATCAAGCGTTGGTCCTCTTCGTTCAAGTACTACTTCTTTAGCCCCAAAAAAAAAGTCCAATATGAAATGAGGAATTTAACTGATTTGTTAACAATATTTATAATTCTTTATATTTCTAAAAATATAGCCATATTAACTCTTATGTTGGTTATGATTGAAAAAGTAAACAAATATATGTTGTTTCTATATTCTATGATGACAATCGTATATTTAAATTTTGATAGTGTTATGAGAAATGATGAGAATCTAGATTCACCTGATAACCTTCACTTGACATATTTTTTAATCAATTTCAAATTTGAGTCTTTCAAATCATGAAATAGCTCAAAGTATGTGCCTCAATTATTTTAAAACAAAACATTTATAAGTTTATGAGAGTGTGCACACATTTAATAGTTCACAAATGGGAAAACATGTTTTTGGGGATCAAGAAATGTCTAGATCAGATAGAAGGACAAAAATATGTATATCATATATTGTAATATAACTGTTTGATTTCGAGTTTTCATTTACCATAAAAAAGAGATAGTTTTTAATTATGTCGGCCATTTCCACAACCTTTAATAAGTGTTAGGATCAAAGCTTAAGTCTTAGTTTGTACATGCATTATCATATTTTCACCAATGACCAATTATACATTATTGTTTCTTGTGTTTCAAGTAAGGAAAGTTTAAAAATATTAATTTTAGATGAAGATAGTCACTTCATTGACAAAACTTCAAATATCACTTTATAAAAAAATCTTTGATAATTTGGTCAAAAGAATTATAAACTTGTTTTATCTACTTTACATTTTAACTATTTACAATGTATGTTTTTACTATTTGTTATACAATACTTGCACATAATTAACATTATTGATGATGGCTAAACATCCTCCTAAATATATAGATTGATATGGATAATATGTCTATTACAAGTTATTCATCTATAAAAAAATCTTCAAAAATTTGTCATAAATGATGGATGACACCCATTTAAAAAAGTTATTATATATGACCAGTGCATCACAAGCGTACCATACGTATTATAATATAGAACATGTTTAAATTTTAATGTATATGGGAATAACCTAATCTGGATAACAAATTGATCTTTGTATTTGTTTTATATTTTATGCATAAGGTAAAAAATTCTAAATAATTTATGTGAAAATAAAGCAAATTATTGTTGATATTCTTAAAATGCAGGAAATAGAAAATATTTTATTAAAATATAAAAAATAAACTATGACTTGAAAACCGATGAAAGTATTTTTGCAATTAGGTGTTTCTAAGTTAATTATATAGTGTTGATGAACTTATCTTGTGTTGCACACCTCCTAAACTTTCCTTAATTGTTGTCTTTCTCTTTTTGATTACCTAAGATATCCCCACAGTCGACTAATTTTTTTGAGGAATTTGAAGGCTATTTAAGGGATTGTTTTCTCCCAAGCAATGCTTTTCTCGCAAAGATATAGGAGTTGAACCTTGAAATAATACTTAAGGTATCCATACTGCTACCATGTGTCATATTCACTTAATTTAAGTGTTATCTTTCTTGTTATATTGTTATAGGCACATGCATGATTGATAAACACTATTATCTTAAAAAAAAAAAAAGATTGATGAATACTATCATAATATTGATTATGCTATTTTCTTAATTGCAAATCATTTATAACTTGTTAGCTATTTTTAACTTTTTTTCTATAATTGTGATTTATAAATACTATTATAACATGTCTAGCAAAAAAAAAATATTATTATGACATAAATTATAATATAAGATTTATTATAGTATATGTTTCACTTTTTCTAGGGTGATGCATGAGCCAATAAATTAGGGAAAAAATAAGTTAATTATATTTAAATTTTTAATAGGTGAAAAGTTAAAAAGTTGTTTATATTTTTTAAATATTCATAAAAATAACACATTGCAAAATAGAAATTGTTGCCCAGATTTTAATTTCCTCAAGATAACAAGTTCTAAAATAAAATAAGTATTTATTCATATTTTTAATACGCTTGAGCATTTCAAATTTTAAAATAGAATGAATTGTTATTTAGATTTTAATTTACATATAATAAAAATTGAGTACACTAAAATAATTTCTTAATTTTTATATTTACATATTATTATTATTTTTTAATCTTTTAAATACCAAGACATCATGTGGATTGTAGGGGAAATAAATCTAGTTGCTTTTGATGGCTAGTCTGGAAGCCAATTTGTATCATCCCAACTCCCAAGTTTTAAATATGGAATCTAATTTTCAATTAAAGGGTAAATTAGTTGATCAATTAAGTTAATCATAGTTCTGAGTTGTTAATTGATATTTTGGATCATTGAACAGTTTCAAGATCAAGCTAAGATTGAATTGGGTCAACTAAGTCCAAGAGTGAGGGTCAAAGTAAGATTTGGCTCGCTCAAACACCCATTGCATCATGGCATGATGTGAATTTTAGACAATTAAGTTGTGAATCAACTTGAGAAATTAGAGGTGGAAATAAGAAAGATAGAGAGCACAAAGGAAGAAAGGGAAACCTTTACTGGGGTTCAAAATTGGAGCACTTGGGAGCTAATTTGAATTATCAATCACTTGGGTAAGCTTTTGTTGCTTTTCGCAAGTGCATGGGTCATAATAAGTAATACAATAAGAGTAAACTATCATTCTTTTGAAGATTTATTTAAAAACAATGATTAAACAAAAGGTTTAATGAATTCAATTAAGTTGAGCCAAACACAATTTTAGGAAAAAGTTAATTTTGCAAACTAAACTAATACTAGAAAATAAAGAAAAATAATTGATTCACAAACTTCAAACACAAATTGAGACCTAAGATTATATATCCCTTTGCATTTCATAACAGCATAATTATCTCCTCTCATAAATGTTTTTAATGAAGATAAGTGCTAACCTAGATTCTAAAAATACTTGAACAAACTCCTTCAAGTCATGAACAAGTATTAGC